CATACTAGTTATATACACAAGGCTGACACAGATTTTGGAATTACAAAATATCTTAGTTTTCTTCTTGGCATTTTTTCTATTTTCCTGTTTTTGAACATTGGAAAATGTAATCTCCAAGAATGTTAATATACAAGAAAAGACCAGTAAAGAGATACGAGCTTAGTTTTAAATAACTAAACATTTTACTGGCTAAAATAATGACAAAGGAAAAATACTGACTAGATTATCAAGCTCATATTTTGTGAAGATGCTATTTAAGATAATTAGTTACACAGTATTTTTAGTCTCTAACTGAATTATTAGCCATTTGGTGGGGGTGGGAGTGGGGGTAGGGGTAAATATTCTTCTCCAAGAAGAGTCAGGTGGTAACTACCTCTACTACCTCTGTTTTTTAAGATATATTTAAGCTTGTTATTTTTTTAAGATTTATTTATTTATTTATTTGAAAGTCAGAGTTACACACAGAGAGGAGGAGAAGATAGAGAGAGCGAGAGGGAGAGAGAGATATCTTCCATCCAATGGTTCACTCCCCAATTGGCTGCAACAGCCGGGACTGTGCCGATCAGAAGCCAGGAGCCAGGAGCCCCCTCCAGGTCTCCCACGCGGATGCAGGGGTTCAAGGACTTGGGCCATCTTCTTACTGCTTTCCCCGGCCAGAGCAGAGAGCTGGATCGGAAGTGGAGCAGCCCCATATGGGATGCTGGCGCTCTAGGCCAGGGCGTTAACCAGCTGTGCCACAGCACCGGCCCCTAAGCCTGTTATTTCTGAGCCACCAAGAAGATTTAGATATAATAAAAGAGAATTTCAGAGAAACAGCTAAGATGAGGAAGAAATAATAAATAGAACAGTGTAGTTTTATTGACCTCTATTAAAAATGTACAGTACTGCTAAAATTTTATACCTTATGAGGGCTTCTTTCTGCAGTAAAGATCTATTGCAGAACTACATTGTCTTCATATAAACCAAATTGGTCTTCCTTTTCTGACAATTTTTGCCACAGCTACCTCTATGGGAACTTTTGTTATGCATTTATTTTCATAGAAATTCAAGTTTCTAAAGTTTATAGAGCAAAACAAGTGCTTTTATATTCCCTTAGGATGTTTGTCATAAACAGAATTCTGTATTTTACATTAGATGTATTCCCACTCTCATATGGTAATCTCGACAACTTCAGTGTTACCAAACAGCTTTAGAACTCAACAATTCAGCAACTAAGGTAAAGAGGGTGAGCAAAATCTATAAAATTTTAGATACCTGTCTTTAGCTTTCAAATGCGAAAATAGACCTCATACATATTGAGATCATTTTCAGCAAAATTAAAGACTATCCATTCATTTGGGTAATAATTCTTTCATATAAAACATGATTTCTAAAGATTTATTTGAACAACAGAGTGACGGGGGAGGGGGGAGGGGGGAGGAAGGGAAAGAGAATCTCCCCCCTCCAGGCAGAGTTAGACAATGAGAGAGAGAGACACACAGAGAGAGAGAGTGTTATAGACAGTGAGAGACAGAGAGAAAGGTCTTCCTTCTGTTGGTTCACTCCCCTAATGGCCGCTATGGCCAGCACTGCACCAATCCAAAGCCAGGAGCCAGGTACTTCCTCCTGGTTTCCCATGCGGGTACAGGGACCTAAGCACTTGGGTCATCCTCCACTGCCTTCCCGGGTCACAGCAGAGAGCTGGATTGGAAGAGGAGCAACCAGGACAGAACCTGGTGCCCCAACCGGGACTAGAACCCTGGGGTGCCAGTGCCACAGGCAGAGGATTAACCAAGTGAGCTACAGCGCTGGCCTGGGAAAGAGAATCTTGAATCCACTGACACTTTTAATGGCCACAACGGCTTAGGCTGGGTCAAGCTGAAGCCAGGAGCCAGAACTCCTTCTTGGTGGGAGGGGCTCAAACACGTGGGCTCTCTTCTGCTGCTTTCCTATATGCATTGGCAGCAGGGTGGATTGGAAGAGAGAGGAGCCAGCATCACAAGCAGTGGCTTAACCTGCTATGCCACAATGCTGGCCCCTCAAGTAAAACATTATTAAAGGTGTACATAAATGGATTTAAATTATAAAATAATACAATGTTATAAACTTGATGCATGTTTATGAAAATGTTATGCATAACACAAAAATACAATCCTAGTATAAAAAGTATTCTCAAAAATATGCACCAAAACTTTTCAAAAATATGCACCTTGTGATTCTATGTGGGACACTGGAAAAACAAGTTAAATGAATAAAACTCTAGGCCTTCGAGAAGGTTTCGTATATATATGGAATGCCTGGAATCATTCAGGAAGCTTCATTTACCCATCTTTGGCCCTGGGAAGTAGCACAGAGACAGGTCTTGGTGGTTTGGCTTGGCCAACCAAGACTTGCTGGAAACAGAGAGGCTGCCCCAGCCATCTTCCTTCAGCTCTAAGAGGGAGGAAGGCTGCTCATTCTCAGTTTTGCCCACGACAATTTGAGAAGAAGACGACAGGTAGATTAGCTCCGCCCCATCCTCAACACTGGGAAACAACTGGGCAGGCTGTCCTGTACTGGTCAGCCCGGGACACCTGGTAATGCCACCTGTGCAGCTCTCAGGCACTGATAAGCATGCTTCTTTCAGTCATACTGATATGTTAAATATTACACCATTATTTAAAGTACTGCTTAAAAATAAAGGAATGAAAAATACTGACTAGATTATCAATTGTGAAGGTGTCATTTAAGATAATTAGAGTAATATTTTTAGTTCCTTACTGTGTGAACTGCTAGGCACCGCAGGATGGCACACCGAGAACTGGGTGCACTATGCAGAATTAGCAGGGAACTTATCTTTGCCTAGGACAGCTGCATCCTAGTTGCAGATGAAATATAATGGCTACTGCAGTCTACACCACTGAGAAAACTGTGCATATCATCAATATTGATTACAGCTGCAGAGCATATACTAACACTACATTAGAGTACACACCTGGAACAAAAGCCAACACAGTCTCTCCAACTGCCATCTCAGGACATATCACCAAGAGAAAGTCATGTACAGTGAAAACCACTCTATAATATTGGTATAGGCTATTAATCTACCAGATGCACAAATATCAATATAGAGATCCAAGAAGTATAAACAAACAAGGTATCAGCATGCCTCCAAAGGAAAACAGTACTCTGTAGAGATAGGCCTCAAAGGAAAGGAAATTAGTGAGTTGCCTTAAAAGATATTCCAAATAATGACTTTAAGGAAACTTAATAAAAACAGACAGACAATGTAATGAAATTAGATAGAGACTTTATTATATTAATAAGAAATCCAGCAGAGATAGGGGATAATAAAAAATAAATGGAAATCTTGGAGCTAACAAATTCAATACATGAAATAAAAAATACAGTCGAGAATCTCAACAGATGAATATATTTAGGCAGAATAAGTGTCTGAGCTTAAAGACAGGTCTTTTGAAATAACTCAGTAAAGACCAAAAAGAAAAAGAAAGAAGAAAAGAAAAAAAATGAAAAAGACCAAGAAGGCTTTCAAAATTTAATGGACACCATTAAGCTGGACAACTTTCACATTATGGGATTTCCCAAAAGAAAACAAAAGGGAAAAATGACATAAAATCTATGCAATAAAATACTTGCTGAAAATGTCCCAAATCTTCAGAAAGATGCAGACATCTAGACCTAGGATGCTTAAAAGAACCTTAGTAGATTTGACTATACATATTTATATACATATATAAATATATAAACATATATTACATATCATATAATTATATAATATAAACATTATAAAACACATTTAATATATAATACATATTATAAAATGTATATTACATAATATATTATATATTTATATATAAATATATATAAACATATATAAACATATAAAATACACCTTTAGGGATATATATAGGGATATATCTATATATAGATATATATACATATTTATATTTATTTTTATATATTATATATTTAATATATATTTATATTTATTTATTTATAAAATACGCCTTTAGGGGTATATCTATATAGATTATATATATAGATATACCCCTAAAGGTATATTATAGTCAAAGTGTAAGAAGTACAAGACAAAAAGAGAATTTTAAAAATACCAAGAGGAAAGAGACAAATCACAAATAAGGACAGTCCCATTAGACTAACAATGGACTTCTTAGAAGAAATCTTAGCCAGGAGAAAATGGGATGATATATTCAAATACCCTAAAAGAACAAACCAGCCAATCAAGAATATTATAGTCAGCATAACATCCCTTCAGAAATGAAGGACAAAAAGTCTTTCCAAGATCAGTAAAAACTGAGAGAATTCATCACTTCTGGAACTGCTCTACAAGAAATGCTTAAGGGACACCAACACTAGAAGAGTAACTACCGGGGCTGGTGCTGTGGTGTAGTGGGCTAAGCCTACACCTGTGGTGCTGGCAGCCCATATGGGAACCGGTTCTTATCCTGGCTGATCCTCTTCTGATCCAGTTCTCTGCTATGGCCTGGGAAAACAGTAGATGGTCCAAGTGCTTGGGCCCCTGCATCTATGTGGGAGACCCAGAGGAAGCTCCTGGCTTCTGGCTTTGGATCAGCTCAGCTCTGGCCATTGTGGCCATTTGGGGAGTGAACCAGAAGATTGAAGACTTCTCTCTCTCCCTCTCTCTGTCTGTAACTCTACCTCTCAAATAAATAAATAAGCCTTTAAAAAATGTAACTACCATCATGAAAATATATGTGAAAGTACTCAATCATAAGGCAGATACCCAAAAGATAATCAAACTTCATCTGTGTAATAAACCACCAAACTGTAAAGATGAACAAGAGATGAAAAAATAAAGGATATACAAAATAACAAGAAAAAAATTAACAAGTGGAGAGGAGTATGGTTTTGCTCATGAATAATAATCTTGAGTGTAAACAGATTAAATTCCCCCAAGTAATAGAGATAGATTGATGGAATGGATTGAAAAAGAGACCCAGTGATGAGCTGCCTACAAGAAATTTTCTTCTCCTTTACAGATAACATAAACTGAAAGTAAAGGAATGGAACAAGATACACCATGCAAGTGGAAATGAAAAGCAAGCCAAAGTACCTATATTTATAACAGGTAAAATAGACTGTACAAAGAGACAAAGAACATTACTATATAATGATAAATGGACCAATTCCCCAAGAGGAAATAATTGTTAAAATATTCAAAAATTGAGGGGCTGGTGCCATGGCTCACTTGGTTAATCCTCCGCCTGCCACACCAGCATCCCATATGGGCACCGGGTTCTAGTCTCGGTTGCTCCTCTTCCAGTCCAGCTCTCTGCTGTGGCCTGGGAAGGCAGTGAAGGATGGCCCAAGTGCTTGGGCCCCTGCACCTGCATGGGAGACCAGGAGGAAGCCCCTGGCTCCTGGCTTCGGATTGGCGCAGCTCCGGCCGTAGCAGCCATTAGAGGAGTGAATAAACAAAAGGAAGACCTTTTTCTCTCTCTTTTATTTTTATTTTTATTTTTTTGACAGGCAGAGTGGACAGTGAGAGAGACAGAGAGAAAGGTCTTCCTTTGCTGTTGGTTCACCCTCCAATGGCTGCCGCGGCCGGCGCACCGCACTGATCCAATGGCAGGAGCCTGGTACTTATCCTGGTCTCCCATGGGGTGCAGGGCCCAAGCACTTGGGCCATCCTCCACTGCACTCCCTGGCCACAGCAGAGAGCTGGCCTGGAAGAGGGGCAACCGGGACAGAATCCGGCGCCCCTACCAGGACTAGAACCCAGTGTGCCGGCGCCGCAAGGCAGAGGATTAGCCAATTGAGCCACGGCGCCGGCTTCTCTGTCTCTCTCTCACTGTCTATAACTCTCTCTCTAACTCTACCTGTCAAAAAAAAAAAAAGAAAAGAAAAAGAAAAAGAAAAAAGAAAATCATACTGTGCCCCCAAAATATGTGCAACTACTATGTGTCCATTAAAAACACTAAAGTGAATATTTTGTTGCTATGTTTCATAATTTCTTCTGCTATCGCATGCACTATAATTTTATTTTTAATTTTTATGTGTAAGGGGGTATTGCAAAATAAATAATGATAATCATTTCATTTTTAATTTTTATAAAACATTATACTTTTGGGGCCGGCACTGTGGCACAGCAGGTTAACGCCCTGGCCTGAAGTGCTGGCATACCATATTCACGCCAGTTCTAGTCCTGACTGCTCCTCTTCTGATCCAGCTCTCTGCTATGGCCTGGGAAAGAAGTACAAGATGGCCCAAGTGCTTGGGCCCCTGCACCTGCATGGGAGACCCGGAAGAAGCTCCTGTTTCCTGGCTTCAGATAGGCGCAGCGCCAGCCGTTGCGGCCATCTGGGGAGTGAACCATCGGATGGAAGACCTGTCTCTCTCTCTCTCTCTGCCTCTTCTCTCTCTCTGTGTAACTCTGACTTTCAAATAAATAAATAAATCTTAAAAAACATTATACTTTTAATAAATATTTATGTATGAAAGGCAGAGACAGACTGACAGACATCTCTTATCTGGTGGTTCACTCTCCAAATTCGCAGAACAGCCAGGGCTGAGCCAGGACAAAGACAGGATTTCATCTAGGTCTCCCACATGGGTGGCAGGGACCCATTTACTTGGGCCATTACTTTCTGCTCCGACAAAGCACACATTAGGAGGAACCTGGAATCAAAGTGCAACCAGGACTCAAACCCAAGCACTCCAATATGGATGTAGGGGTTCTGAGTGACGTCTTAACTGCTATAAAAAATGTCCATCCCATAATAATCACTTTAATGAGTGAAGGAGAAAAACCATAGATAATTCTTGTGATCCAGAGGAAACATAAAGAGCAGGATTAACACAATAGTAATTACCGAGCAGATGGATTTCTAATCCTGGAAATAAACATGCTAATTAAGCTACACTACAGAATGACAAGATATCAAGGTCTTCTGAGTCTGGAGAGATTGCTATTCCAATTTACTAGAACTTAATTCTCATTATATTAAAAAGTATTTAATCAACCAAATCTTTTTTAATTAACAAGTTTGCGTAGGCAGTTTAATGTTTCTGCCAGTTTCTTCAGTGTGTGTGTGTTATAGGGGCACACATTCTCATCAGTGTACTCATGGTGTGTTCAATAACAGCATTTTTCCTAGAGCAGGACTGCATTGTGTTTTACCTCTAATAAGATACTCTTTCCTATTTGCTATCAGTGGAGTTTCAATTAGGGAATCAAAGATTACAATGCTGATGCTGTCATAGCTACCCTATGTATCCTTCATTTAAAGATGAAAAATAACTTCATTAATAACTGGAATTTTCAGTCCCTTGATTGATCTGGGTGAGCTACAGATTTTGATACCACCCATAACCTAATATTTTGGAAGAAATAAACAGGAAGAAAGAGAATAATGTAAGGGAAACAAAAGTTTGTGTGAATAATGTGAGAAAGAAGCAAGTGAGACAGCATCATTATTTTTATTTTTACATGTGCATAAGTCCAAATTTTCTATCCAGTATCTGATCAATACAATACCATTTTTGGAAAGTCATCTGAAATACATAAAATTGCATGACATTTCCTAGTGCATGAATGTCTTTACAGAAGAAACCGATTTTTAGAGTAAAAAGACTCATCTAGAAGAGAATTATAAGAGATGGTTCAGTTTAATTTCTATTATAAACCCCCCAAATTTTTGTGTATGGAGTGTGTGGGGGGGGGTCACTCTCCTGTCCCTATTCCTATCTGTCTTTAGTTGTAACCACAACACTCACTTCTTTTATATCATGAAATATTTTAGCTATATTAAAAAGTGAGAAATACTTGTCAGTTATATAAATGTAACTCATCCCAATTTAACCCAATTCTACAAGCATTTATTGAATGAAAGTGATAGGAAAATCATAGAACTGGTGATACCAAGCTACACCAACTTTAAAAAGATACTTCCCATGCTCCAAACCACATAGGCCTTTGCTACTCAAAGAGTGGTCTGTGGCCAAGCAGCATTAGCATTTACTGAGAACTGTTAGAAATACAGAATTTCAGTCTCCACCAAAATCTGAATTGTAGCATGATCCCCAAATAAATCAAATGCACATTAAACTCTGAGAAGCATTGTGCTAGAAGACACCTGTCTAAGGAGAAAGTATACCTTGGTGTGTTTTTTTTTTAGAAGAAAATAATTTAATAAGAAATGATCTAACACAGAGCAAACACTATGAGACAGTACAGAATCTAATTCTGGTTGCAGAGATGGGCAGCAGGTTTAACCTGCCTTTTTCTGTGTTAGACTTCACACCTGATAGATGAGAATTTTCTGAAGTGTACCCCTCATCAAATATGTTTCAGAAACACTGCATGAAGCATATTACACTTCACATTTTCTAAGCCAGTAACTAATCACTACACCATATATTGAAACTTTACCCAGATTACAAAAAAATAGCATGACTTTTTTTTTTATGAATGAGTGAAGGTTTTTATGGAAGAGATGCATACCACATTTGTAAAAGTGTACTAAAGATTGAGAAGTACAGAAATAAACAATACTGTTTACTTAAACCCAGGATTCCACAAATATAATTTTAAAAATGTAACTTATTCCTCTTAAAACAATGATATTAGAATCTTTCAGAGTGTGGTCTATGACACACTTTCGGAGTTACTGAACGTTATAAAACTTGGAACATTTCACTCATGAATTCTTCACCCGAGTTGTTCTGTTTTCCATTAACTTCTCTTCTCCTTCTTACAATTTAGAGTATAAAAGTACCAAATAAATTCAACCTTGAGCATGAACATAAACAAAATATAGCATTTAGATCTGACACAATATATGTTATAATTTAGAAATTCTGAGACAATAGACCAGCTGTTCTCTTAAAAATTATCCAGATCTGGATAGATAAAGCTGTCTTTGAACAAACAGTATGCTAAAGTCTGGCCTCCACATATCATTGAAATTAAGCCGGATCCTGCAAGTAAATGAAAGGGAAGTTCTGGTTAACAATCAATAATGAATAATTCATTGGCGAAATTATGAATAAGAACAATTGTCATAACTGAAAGAGTGTTGCTGAAACTGACATAGGAAATGAAACAGCTTTTTACAGATTCAGCTAAAAGAGACTAGGCAGTTAATCAGGCTGACAAATTGTTGAAATTTAAAATTTCCTTCAGAAGCAAATAGGCACACGGATACTAGTAAGGTGGTCCTAAAACTCATACTTCCAAAGGCCATGAAGTCACAGCACATACTAAGGAATTCACTGTGAAATCCTTTAGCTCCTCAATCTGTCATTTGTTTGAGTTGTTGCTGTTTACAGAGATACATTTTGTTCCACGTTTTCCTTCTGTTTGTAAAAGGAGATCATGCTAACTTGGAAAAATGTTTTATGTATAGAAAAGACTTTTAAAAAACAGAATTCCCCATACTTGAGCAATTTGGTTTTGGGAAAATACCTTTAGTTCTGATTTTACTGACTCAATGATTTGTGTTTGTTTTAAAATATTGATACAGTAATTGCAGAGCTTTCATAAGTCTGTAGTTCCTTGTCTAGTAGTATCAGAGGAACTTCCATGAAAGGTGGAACCCTGAGGGAGGAACCCTGGCAGGATTCACAACTACATCACATAGGGATGTACAATATGAGACCATGAGAGAGTTTCTAAGATGTTTAACCACTGTTCTCTTGGATCTCAATTTTTCACTAAGACCACCTCATGTGTCATGTGGCACCTGCATTATGTATAATCAACCCTGTTCATTGATACTAGTCACTCAACTATTTTATTATTCTATTCCACTATGCTTAAGTTGACTTTTGTGGCAATCAGCTGGCATTTGCTCTTACCAAGCTGACTAAAGCAGAGGAAACTTTATGGTATTATAAATAAAATCCAAATGCAGTAAGTTCTTATTTTTCAAAGAAAAAAATCATTTCCACTTAAGCATTTCTCTCTGTATCTTTTTTCCCAATTTATTAATAATTTACATAGTTGAATGGTTTATGCAGATATAAATGGTACTGTGTTTTTCAATTTTTCATTTATTTATTCACATTTTATTTGAAAGCCAGAGAGATGATTCACTTTCAAACGCCTGAAACAGCCAGGGCTTGGCCAACCAGAAGTCAGGAGCACAGAACTTAGTGTAGGTCTCCCACATGTCCCTATAGGACCCAACTACCCAAGCCATCTGTAGTTTCTCAGGGTGTGCATAGCAGGAAGCTGGATCAGAAGCTGAGTAGCCAAGACTCAAAGCCTTCACTTGCATATAGTATGTGGGCAACCCAAACAGTGACTCGCCACTGCAGCACATACCAGGCCTCCTGTGTTTTCTGTTTGTACTAAACACTACTAGAGGAAAACAAACAACTAAGACACAGGGGGCTAAAACATACTATAAGTAGCACTGGCTAACCTGTCTCAGTATGATGGTGAATATATAGCTGAACCTAAAAAGTGTTAGAAAAATCCACTCTCTGGAGTCAGTGTTTAGCTTAGTGCTGAAGACACCTGTGCCCCTGTTGGAGTGCCTGGATTCGGTTCCCAGCTCTTGACTCCTACTTTGTGTTAATGCTGATCCTGACAGGTAACAGTGGTGGCTTAAATGATTGCTTCCCTGCCACCCACATGGGAGACTTGGGTTGAGTTCCTGACTCCAGCCCCAGCTGTGGGGGGTATTTGAGGAGTGAACCTCTCTCTCTCTCTCCTTGCCACTCAAATTAATAAAATAAAATAAAATAAAATAAAGCACTCCCACTTGGCTAATTTTCTTACTAGATATATAACTGATGAATTCTGTTCAATTTGTGAGCAAAAAAGTAATTGAAATAGTTTCACTGCTCCTTGTAAAAGTAGAAAAACAGCTATGCCTTCACAAAGAATGTCTGGTATTTTATTCACTATATTTTGAGAATGATGAAATCTTTGAACAGTCTCCTGGTCCAATTATCTGGCCCACATAAAAATATTTTTATGGCCCCATTTTAAAAATACATATTTATATTGAATAAATAGTATACTACATATATTATGTAATATACTCTAATAACACATCAGAACATACAAGATAAAAGCAGAGTATATAACACAAAAATATATTGAAATATATAACATGAAAACCAGGTATAATACTCATGTCTATATAATTATAATATTTATATAAAATGATCCATAACAGGTGATTACATATTTTCTCTTTGAACTCTCCCAGGGTGAAGAATAAACAGCCTCCCTTGGTAGTCCGCCAGAGTGTGTTTGCTGTTTGGCACCCATATACTCCCATTACGGGCCAGGAAATTCTCTGCTTCTTAATTTCATCTCACATAATTCTCCCTATACTTACAAAACAAATATTTACTATGTGACAGGTATATGCTGGGTACAGCATGCTATATTAACATTTTAACTCTCAAACGTTTTAAAAAATGAAAATTAAGTCATTGTGTATTTTCAAAAGAATGAGCAGCATTTTGCTATTTTCCAGTTGAATTTAAAAGCAAATATTTTGACAATTTGTCTGTTCTTTCCTAAGTCATGTAAAATGCTTGCTTCTATTTGATTTGCAAACAACAATCACAGAACCAGGAAGCAATATGGAAATCCTATCAGAGCTTGTGATCATCACTGATCAGTCTGTCTTGTCTTTTTACTCTTTCCACCGCTGAAACAGTGGTTGCCTCCAGAAATTCCTATAAGCTTTGCTCTTCACCTTGGGTATTCTCACCCATATAAAGTAAGCAACAAATGGTAAGTATTACTGCTATTGTGAAGGCCCTTAAAACTGAGGGGTAACACCAGAATATATATGGGGTTACTTAGTACTGTCAGAACAGATCTTATTGTGAGATCTTTGTGCCTGCAGATGCAGCCACAGGATCTCCATGTAGAGGTGTCTCATGGCTGACAAGATGTGTTGGAAGAAAGCCTGTTTACAGAGACCATCCTGGTGCCTGTGGGAACTCTACTGAATTACCCAATTGTATAAGCTCAGTTTCCACGTTCTCAAAATTGGAATATAATACTTATCTCACAGGATTGGAATAAAGGTTAGCGAGACTAATGCAATATCTCTGGCTCATGTCAAATGATCAATAAATAATAAGTATTATTGATATTGTATAAGCCACTACACACCAGAATATGTTTGGGTTTGTTTACTGTTGTCAGAACAGATTCAAGATATTGGATAACATTATTACCAAATCAAGAACACTTATGATCTTTACATTTGAAAGCCAAATGCACCCAATCTAAAAGTAAATAATTTCCACACTTGACAAATATAGAATTCTGTTTAGAATTATCTAGCCATTTACTAGCACAAATAAATTTTAATATTGGGCTATTGCTTTTCCTTCCTAAATTTCTAATTATTATATAATATGATTCAGGAAGAACATAAATAAAAGTGATGTTTTCAAAATCTCATTTCTTTTCATTTGTTTTTTGTATCTTGACTCTCCTATTTTATAAATAGAATTCTATGGAAAGCATATTTAGATTGGATTATTTGAAGCTAAAAAGGAGTTAAAAGTTTAATTCTAGAAAAATGAAGCTATTAGAAGACAACAGGGAAGATTAAAATAAAACACTCAGATGAACTTCACAACTGTTAGAACTTGAAAATATTGTAAAGTCATAAAATTTATTGACTTTGTATGAAGTTAGGGGTTGCATAAAAGATTTTAAAGGACTTAGAACCTCTCTATGTCACTGTAGCTTGATGTGTGGTTCATCAACTGGCAGGCCCTATCCAGACTGACTACATTTCAGCAAGATCCTCAGGTGATTTGCATATGTTATGTACATTCAAATTTGAGAAATTCTGCTGTAAGCTATGATCTTTCTATTAATAGTAGAAACGAGACCAGGGTGTAATTTCATTTGGCATGTTCCTTATTCTTCATTCCTTACACAGGACTTTTTTTTTTTTTTGTACTTTACTAATTTCAAAACACAGCCATTTTTATTGTTTTCTTCCTTCATCATGACATGATATTATCTAAAGATATCTTGGATGGAATCATCCCATAGAAGGCAGTTCCATCCAGTGATGGCAATAAGGGGTCTTCAAAACATTTACGGAAGAGTAGTTTGGCCTAGTAGTCAACATACTGATTGATTTACCTACGTCTCCCTCTGAAGTTCCTGGATAAGATTCCCCAACTCCTGCTCTGATTATAGCTTCCTGCTAATACAGACCCTGGGAGCCAACGGTGATGGCTCAGGTAATTGGATTCCTGCCACCTTCATCGGAGACCTGGATTGTGTTCCCAGCTCTGTGGTTGGCACAGCCCCACTCCAGTTGTTGCAGGCATTTGAAGAATGAACCAGAGGATGGCATCAGTTTCTCTGCCTCTCTCTTCATCTCAGATAAGTAAATAATTCTTTAAAACATTTCATGGAAAACACATATTAGGAAAAAATGATGCATGTATTTCAATTTTTTGCACCAAAATAAAATTATTTTTTAATTCCATTTCCACAAACTGTTTGAAATACCCTCATCTATCAGGGTTCAACCTCTTTGTCCTAATAAAAATTCAAACTTTAAGTATCCATGAATATTGGAAGAGGATTAATTTTGATACTTAGTGTCCAATAAGAAGTTAGAGTGAGCTGCATCTTGGAATAGATGTTAGAATGTGCTAATAAATGAAGCATAGTCCCATGATAGGATGTCAGGGAAGGAAACAGCAGTACTCTGTTGTTTGGTACTAGGTCCTGTGCATACCTATTTTCTCATGCAATTTCTAAGTTGACCCCATTGACTCACTTGTACAGTGGGACATTTGGTGCATCTGTGTATACGTGATTGAGAGTCTGTATATGGATCCCAAAAAAGTTGAAAATATGTACCTAAGCACTTTTTAAAATAAAACTGAACCTCCCTTGTTTGCCTACTAATGATAGCTCAGCCCTTACTTCCTTCCCTGGGGCCAAAACGATGGAGAAAGAAGGGAAGACAAAATTCATATAGACCAGAGTTGGAGGGAAGCTAAGGAAATTGAGGGTTTAGCAAAAACTTTGCCAGTACATAGAGCTTTTTTGGTTTTTACTCACTTCTATCCCTTCCATTACTGTTTTAGATATAAAGTGAATCTCATTACTTAATAAATTAAAAATTTATCAAATGGAGCAGAGACCTATGTATCTTATATGTGTATTTATCAATCTATTATTTGTCTCAAATGCATGTTAAGATGGCAGATTCTCTTGTGCTACTCTGAGAGTGTATTGGGCCAGGAGAAATAATCAGTACAGTCCATCTTCAGTAAAATGGCATGAGGATTTTTTGTTGTTGTTGTTTCTTACAATTTATTGTCATTTTATTTGAGAGAGACAGAGAATCAATCTCCCATTTGCTGGTTCACTCTCAAATGCCTACAAGAGCCAGTGCAGGGCCAGGCTCGAGCCAGGAGCCAGGAACTCCATCTGGGTCTCCTATATGCGTGGCAAGGAACTAAGTACCTTCTTCATCAGTTGCTGCCTCCCAAGATGCTTGTAAGCATGAACCTGGGTGAAATATGAAATAGCCAGAATTAGAATAAGGCACTCCTAAATGGAAGGCAGGCATCCCCAGGGGAGACAACCACTGTTCCAAATGCCCTGGCTCAATGGCTTTAATGATCTCAGACATCATCATCATTATCTTGAAAAATAAGAAAATTTATGACTACACTAAAAAAATCTACTTCCCAAAATTATTCTACTTAACACTTTTTTGTGCATTAGAGAATCCGAACCGGAACAATGCCCATATACCTAAAGCAGCCCACCAATGTGACGTCAAGGGGAATTCCAACATAACTGTAATAGAAAAGAGAGGTGTTACTCATTTTCAAAGCACACATTATCTTTTTACTCACGAAAAAATACTTCTGCTTGGTGAAATCGTATCCATGTACCAAATAAAAATGTACCCATGCTCATAAAATCAACTGGCCCCAGAGTTGTACTTAAGTTATGGATCTGAAAGATCAATTTGTAGGTCAAATATTTCAAATTCTTCTCTAGAAAGGTTATGAGATTGCCTTACAAAGTTGATTTGCAACAGGGATGGTTACAAGACCACACTGAATCTTCAGTGCCCACATTATGAACCAATTATGAACCACTTAACTCTAAACACATTTCTATCCATTTGTTAAATATTTTCTATGTGTCTTGTATTAGATAATTAACTCATTTTTTTCTGAGTCCAGAACCTATAGTTCATCCCAATCTTGAGGGCCATCCTATGTTCTCCAAGCCTCATACAAATATTCTGTGACTGTCTTAGCAATAAAACATTAAGCTTTGAAGTATAATATTGAATTTGAGATGACATGGATGTGGGGTGGGAATGTGGGGTCCCATGATTTTCCGAGTTACTAAAGGAGGGTTTGTACTGAGAAATTGATGCTAGGAGGTCAATATACTGGCATTCTCAGACACTGAGAAGCAGCAATACATTTGGAAATTCTACATTCTTAAACTGGAGATGGATTATCCTATCAATACATGAGCACTTCAAATCAACAAATAATAAAGTTTCAAGGCCAGCACCGCGGCTCACTAGGCTAATCCTCCGCCTTGCAGCGCCGGCACACGGGGTTCTCGTCCCAGTCGGGGCGCCGGATTCTGTCCCAGTTGCCCCTCTTTCAGGCCAGCTCTCTGCTGTGGCCCGGGAGTGCAGTGGAGGATGGCCCAAGTGCTTGGGCCCTGCACCCCATGGGAGACCAGGAGAAGTACCTGGCTCCTGCCTTCGGATCAGCGCGGTGCGCCGGCCGTGGTACACCGGCCACAGCAGCCATTGGAGGGTGAACCAACGGCAAAGGAAGACCTTTCTCTCTGTCTCTCTCACTGTCCACTCTGCCTGTTAAAAAAAATGTTTCAATCATAACTTGAGATTGCGTATCATCCATACTTTGACTAACATAATTAAAAAATAATGGAAGATAGTATGGAAGCAAAAGTTAGAGGGAAGAGTAATTCTGAATTGATGAATTAATGAATCAAACTATCATTTACTGAGCAATTATTATAAATTAGATAATTTTTCACCTCTTTTTTTAGTTTTTTAAAAATTTTTAGGTTTTAAGATTCAATATAGGGGCCAGCACTGTGGTGCAGCGAGTTAAAGCCCCAGCCTGCAGTGCCAGCATCCCATATGGACACTGGTTTGAGTCCCAGCTGCTCCTCTTCTGATCCAGCTCTCTGCTATATGGCCTGGAAAAGCAGTAGAAGATGGCCCAAGTCCTTGGGCCACTGTACCTGCATGGAAGACCTGGAAGAAGCTCCTGACTCCTGGCTTTGAATCAGCTCAGCTCTGAGTGAACCAGCAGAATGGAAGACCTCTCTCTCTCTCTTTCTCTCTCTCTTTCTCTGCCTCTCCTTCTTTCTCTGTGTAACTCTGACTTTCAAATAAATAAAATAATTCTTTAAAAAATGATTCAATATAGTTCATAGATACAATTCTAAGAATATAATAGCATTCCTTCCCTCTCTCCCTCTCTCCTCCTCTTCTGCCTCTCACCCTCTCTCCTTCCTTTCTTTACTTCTGATATCATATTTTAATTTACATCACAATCAAGGGCTTAATTCTCCACCAAATAAAAAAGTTTAACAAGTAAAGAGCAATAAGAACCCTGGTTTAGTGGGAATATAGGTAAGGGCTATAAACAATAATAGAATGTAAAGATGGACATTTCAACCATATATAGTAAATTTTAAAGTAATTACAGATTATTAAAGCTATAGTAGTATAGCTTTTTTTAAAAAACAAGATTTATTTATTTATTTGAAAGGTAGAGTTACAAAGAGACAGAGGCAGAGAGAGAGGTAAGTCTTCCATCCTTTGGTTCACTCTCCAGATGGCTAGAACGCAGGAACTGGGTTGATCTGAAGCCAGGAAACAGGAGCTTCTTCCAGGGCTCCCACACGGGTGCAGGGACCCAGGGACTTGGGACATCCTCTATTGCTTTCCCAGGCCATAGCAGAGAGCTGGATCAGAAGTAGAGTGGCTGGAATTCAAACCAGCGCCCGTATGAGATGCTGGCACTGCAAGAAGAGGCTTTACCTCCTACGCCATAGTGCTGGTCCCTACAGATTATTAAAACTATAGTAGTATAACACTCTTAACCATTGCTTTGAAAAAGGTATAAACCAAAGTTTGACAAAACTGTATTTGCAGAAATATCAATACACACACCATTTTATTCTTGTTTTTGATTTTTTTTTTCCTTTTTAAATTTTAGCTCCTACATATAAGAGAGAACATGTAGTATTTCTTTCTTTCTATGTCTGGATGAATATTCCATTGTATGTATGTATATGTATATATATGTAGATATGTGTGTATATAAATATGTGTGTATAGATACATACACACACTCATACCTTATTTTCTTTGCCAATTCATATATCTTATTTTCTTTATCAACTCATCTGATGATGGATACCTTGCTTGATTCCATATTTTGGCTATTGTGAATAGAACTGCTATAAACATTGTGGCACAGGTATCTCTTTGATACAATGTGTTCCTGTCTTTTGGGTGTACTCCCAAAAGTGGGATTGCTGGGTCATATGGCAAGTCTATTTTTAGTTTTTTAAGTATTCAAAACAATTGAAAGGGAAGGAATCTTCCCAAACTCCTACAAGGTCAGCATCTCCTTAATTCCAAAACTAGAAGAGATAAAACGAAGAAAGAGAACTATAGATCAATATCACTTATGATGCAAACATTCTCTACAAAATACTGGCTAATAGAATCCAACACCACATTAGAAAGATCATTCAACTACACCTGGTGGGATTTGTCCATGGTATGCAGGGAAGGTTTAAAATACACAAATCGATAAATGTGATATATCATATTAACAAACTGAAGGAAAAAAACCTTATGATTATCTCAATAGATACGGATAAAACATTTGATAAAATGCAACATCCTTTCATGATTAACCCTTAAGCAAATTAGGTAAAGAAGGAACATCCCTCAGTACAATCAGGTAATATACAACAAACCTACAGCCAGCATCATGTTGAATGAGGAAAATTTGGAAGCATTTGCTCTAAGATCAGAACCAGACAAGGATGCCCACTCTCCACTGCTATTCAACATAGTTCTGGAAGTTTTAGCCAGAGCTATTAGGCAAGAAAAATGATCAAAGGGATACAAACAGGAAAGGAAGATGTCAAATTACCCCTGTTTGCAGATGACATGATTCTATATATAGTGGAACCAAAAGACTCCACTAAGAGTCTGAACTGATAAGAGAGTTTGGGAAAATTGCAGGATATAAAATCAACACACAAAAATCAATAGCCTTGGGGCCGGCACTGTGGTGCCGTAGGTAAATCCTACACCTGCGACACTGGCATCCCATATGGGTGCTGGTTCTAGTCCCGGCTGTTCCACTTCCTATCCAGCTCTCTGCTATGGCCTGGGAAGATGGTCCTAGTGCTTGGGCCCCTGCACCCGCATGGGAAACCCGGAGGAGGCTCCTGGCCCCTGGCTCCTGGCTCCTGGCTCCGGATCGGTGCAGCTCTGGCCATTGCGGCCAGCTGGGGAGTGAACAAGTGGATGGAAGACCTTTCTCTCTGTCTTTCCCTCTCACTGTTTATAACTCTACCTCTCAAACAAATAATTAAATCTTATAAAAAATCAATAGCCTTTGTATTTGCAGACAATACCATTGCTGATAAAGAACTTGTAAGATCAGTAACATTCATAGTTGATACTAAAAAGTTAAGTATCTTGGAATAAACTTAAGCAAGGAGGTAAAAGCCTCTACTATGAAAATTACAAAATATTAAAGAAAGAAATAGAAGAAGACACAAAAAAATAGAAAAATGTTCCATATTCATGGATTGAAAGAATTAATACCATCAAAAAGTACATACTGCCAATGGCAATCTACAGACTCAATGTAACCCAGTCAAAATACCAATTACATTCTTCTCAGGCCTAGAAAAAAAAAGATGTTAAAATTCATAGGAAACACAAGAGACCCCAAATAACTAAAGCAATCTTCTTCTTTATTTTACTGAGAGACAGAGGCAGACACACACACACACACACACACACACAGAGAGAGAGAGAGAGAGAGAGATCTTCTATCCACTGGTTGGCTCACTCCCCAAATGGCAGCAATGGCTGGAATGGGACTAGGCTGCAGCCAGGATGCAGGAATTCATCTGGGTCTCCCATATGGGTGCAGGGACCCAAGCACTTGGGCCATCTTCTCCTGCTTTCCCAGGTGTATCACCAAGGAGCTGGATAGGAAGTGGAGCAGCTGGGACTAGAACCAGTGCCCGTATGGGATACTGGCACTGTAGGTGAAGGCTTAACCTTTTTCCTCACAGCGCTGTCCCCAGCTAAAGCAATCTTAAACAGCAAAACCGAATTCAGAGGAATCACAATACCAGATTTCAAGACATACTGCAGGACAATTGTAATCAAAACAGCCTGGTACTAGAACAAAAATAGACATTTAGGCCAATGGAACAGAATAGAAACTCCGAAAAACCAATCCATGCATTTACAACCAACTAATTTTTGACAACCGAGCTAAAATCAATCCCTGGAGGAAGGACAGTCTCTTCAACATATAGTGCTGGGAAAATTGGATCTACACATGCCAAAGTATAAAACCAGATTCCTATCTTATGCCTTATATAAAAAATCAATTAAAAATAGATAAATGATCTAAATCTATGACCCTATACCATGAAATGAGTAGATGAAAACATTGGGGGAAACTCTGCAATACATTGACATAGCAAAGACTTCTTAGAAAATACCCCAGAAGCACAGGCAATCAAAGCCAAAATTGACAAATGGGATTACACAAAGCTGAGAAGCTTCTGTACTGCAAAAGAATCACTCAGCAAAGTGAAGAGGTAACTGACAGAAGAGCAGAAAATATTTGCAATATATGCAACTGATAAAGGACTAATATCCTGAATCTAAAAAGAGCTCAAGAACACAACAACAAAACAATCAATCCAGTTAAGAAATGGACAAAGAATTTGAAAAGGTATTTTTCAAAAGAAAAAATTCAAATGACCAACAGACACATGAAAAAATGCTCAGAATCACTTACCCATTAGGGAAATGCAAATAAAAATCACGGTGAGGTTCTACCTCACCCCAGTTAGATTGGCTCTCATACAGAAATTGAAAGACAACTGATGGTGATGAGTATGTGGGGGAAAAGGGGAACCTAATCCACTGTTGGTGGGAATGTACACTAGTATAGTCATTGTGCATATTCCTCAGAAATCTGAAAATAGATGTAACATATGACCTAGCAATTTCACTCCTGAGAATTCACCCAAATGAAATGAAATCAGCATATGAAAGAGTTATCTGTACCCCCATGTTTATCACAGTTCAATTCATAATAGCAATGATATTAAATCAACCCAGATATTCATCAATCAATGACTGGATAAATACACACACACACACATACACACACATTATGGAATACTACTCAGCTGTAAAAAGAATGAAATCCTCTCTTGCAACAAAATGGATGCAACTGGAAACCACTATACTTAGTTAAATAAGCCAGTCCCCAAAAGGCAAATATCATATATTTCCCCTAATCTGTGATAACTAATAGAGTGTAAAAAATGTAATGTATATGAGTGAAATTGACATTTTCATATTTGATATTTGTTTATAGCCCTCGTCTCTATAGTTGAGGAAAAATGTTTTTCCTTCTTACTATTTATTGAATTCTTTATTTAGTGGAGGATTAAGCTTATGATTATAAAATAAACTAAAAGTATGTGATCGTAAAAATTAAATGATTAAGAAAGAAAGATGGAGGGAGGCTGGCAACGTGGGAGGATTGGTAGAATGGGAAGTATCACTATGCTCCTAAATCTGTACAAATGAAATACATGAAATTTAGTCAACTTATGTAAATAAAACAATTATTTTAAAAAAAGAAATCTCCATGGTGTTTTCCATAGTGGCTGTACTAATCTACATTCCACCAACAAAAAATGTGTAAGTTTTCACCCTTTTCCACATCCTTGCCAGAATTTATTACTCTCTGCCTCTTGGATTTTAGCCATTCTGACAGAGGTGAGGTGATATCTCATCATGGTTTTGTTTTACATTTCCCTGGTGGCTAGTGATTTCTCACTATCACATTGAAATGTCACTAGATCTCCCTACATTGTAGAGAAGCAAACCGTCATGAAGGATGTGATTGATCCAAGACTATACTCCTAATAAGAGGTAAGACTGGAATTTGAGTCCATTTTCTTCTGACTCAAAATATCATAGGTAGAACTAAAAATGCCTTAGTCTAAAAACCAATGCTCATGTTGTTTAAATACTGTTGGAAAGCTTGCTTGCCTCCAAGTACAGTTTTCCACAAGTACCAGTCCCCACAATTTGTTCAATTCCTGCCTCAGGGAAGGATTTTGAAGAAAAAAATCTCCCTTACAGGGGCAAACCCTGTACAAGTTGATGACAAGTTGAATGTGAAAAGAGAATGGGAAACACCTACATTTCAGTTGAGATTTGAATTTAAGATGGAGTTATCAAAACTCGTCTTAGTGGATTGGGAGAAGAGTCTGGCAGGGGAGGAAGTGTGAGGGATGTGGGTGAAGGAGTTTCATCATCAGCTTTTAGAAGAAGGCATCATAAGAGAAATGCATGCTAGAAAGTTCCACTCTTAGGAAGGGATTTAGGTATAACACCAGACTTAACATAGTTTTCTTTGTTTCCATTATTTTCTTTTGCTTACCAGCTGATGTGATGGCAACATGAAGAATAGTTACTGAAATGGCATAATCCCATAACCATTCTTCCACAACCGGAACGAATAGTAATCCACATACAAAGTAGGTGACCTCTGTGGACACTAAAAGAACTACACATAACAAGGAAGAACGTCATTATCTGGGACTAGAGAAATGAACAGTCCTGAAATATACCTAGCAACAAAACTTTGAATACATACTCTGCAAAGAAATTTTTGTAAGAATTTTTTAAATGTTCTATCGCTTAACAATTCTCATGTTCAATCTCTTAATAATTCTCAAATATGGGTGAGAACTTCTAACATATTCTACCTCTTAATCACTCTTACAGTTATAATCTTTGTAGTTAGCCTTTTAGAAAATACTTGTACAATAAGTAGAAAGTCCCAATATAACTAATGCATGTACATCTGCCATTGGACTACAAATCTGTATTTAAGATACATTAAAAGTTAATGAAAAATTCAGTTCTGAGTTTCCAGGAGTAAAAAAGTATGAATATATTGAGCTACAGCATTTCTTTAATACCAAACACTGCCTAACTTGGAATTGAGTTCCTTGTATCTTTATAATAAAATTCTTTGTATCCATAGTCATTTGGGACACATAACTGATACCTATGCATGAATGAAAATCTCATAAATGACAAGTGTGGATGGAGACACTCTTCTAATTCCCCTGGCTGAACACGTATAAAGAGCTAGTAATTTATAGGCCAGGATCACAAATCTCAGAGAGCTCTGAACATGTGAAGGGTCAACCTTTTGTCTCATGTCTTTGATATAGCTCTTTAAGACCAGAGTGGTTCCAAAGGAGAGATCCATCAAACTTTAAAGTGACAAATATATGTGATATACCACTAAAGTCCCTTTGTAAATGATACCATTTTCCACAAACTTTACTTTTCTTTCCTTTTAAAAGACAGCAAATGATTGGTGTGTTCATACAATTCAGAAATCAGTTACCTCTATATTTTTTAAAGAAAATAAAACAACTATCTCCTGTACTATTTTGCAAAAGTAATTTATTAACCAGTAAGCCAGTGAATACTCAATGGGTATGCAAGACACCAAATGAGCTACTGTGTTTTTAAAGGACTCACACTTCTTCAGCTATATTTAACTCCATAAGTTTTAAATATTCAATGGAGAATTCTTATCCTTTTTTATTTCAGATCAAATTTCTTTAGCCAATACAGATGCATTTACCATGTGTTTTGTCATATTGATATCACTGCTTCCCATAATATTTCACTTCTTCCTCCACCAATAGTTCAGAGCCTCCACATTATTATAGGAAAAAAGAGAGGCCTCTTCAGGGGGGTTTAGAGATTTTATAGATTAATTTGCAGCTGCTTGGAAACAGTGATTTTCATCTCACAAAAGTTACATTTGCATATATTGATATAGAATTCGCAAGCTTTATGACATGAAAGAAGGCATGGTTTAGGGAAGTCATGCAAATCTGTAGTCAGGACACCAGCATTCCAGTCTTGGCTATGGAGTTCAAGAGACTTCAGCAGATCTGTTTCCTTCTCTATAAATCCGGAATGGAGTACTACCCTGCCTCCTTCAAAAAATTTTCACGAGGATATTAATCGAAAATGAATGGAATTTGTAAACTCTTTTCTGCAATGCAAAGGAAAGAGATTAGGAATGAAAATGTTTCAGCTGGACTCACACATTCCAGTGTCCTTGCTAAAACTGGTCTCCTGGTGACCTCATTATCGAAACAGACAAGAAACCTGACCCCAAATCCATGCTCAAGGCTCTGAGAGTACTCTCACATTTTATCGCTAAGATTAAACAAACCAAGATTCCCAAAGCAACAACTTTGAAGAGTTATGGCGCTTATCTCCCTGGGCTCAAAATTAAAGATCTAATAGGGGAAGGGTTTATTGATATCTTTGTACAAATGTTCATGTTTCGTGAGAGGAAGGGATGATATAAACTGTGCCAGACATCCTGGGGATCTTCACTAATCTCTGCTATGTGAAAACACAGCGTTCTCCAGGAAGCTGCTGACATCATCCTATCTTCGTTGACTGACCCAAAGGCAAGAATTAAATAACAGTTGAGTTTTAAATTTCTCTTCCAACCCAACACACACACACTCACACACACACGCACACACAGATCCCATAAGTAGCTCTTTACTGTGACTATCTCCTTATCATTTGTCTTGTTAGAAAATAAGCTAATTCAATCTTCAACAGGGAAGTACATGAAAAAGTTAAGGTGAAATGTTAGCCTTGTTGTATCTCTTGTTCTCACATACTCTTTGCTGTCCAAAATTGAATAAATAATGGCACCAAACAAGTTTATTCATTTGAGGAAACCATTCTAAAGCTCTTTATTTTAACTGAGTAATTCTATCTGTCCAAGTTTCCTATGCAGGTCATATTGAAATCTGGTTCCTCTGGCCTCAGGCAGTTTTTGGATATTTGCATCTGTGTCCCCAAAAAAGACTGTTTGATAATTTCCTAAAGAACTGTAATGTTTAAATAATTGATAGTACAATTTTTTTTTTTTTTGACAGGCAGAGTGGACAGTGAAAAGAGAGACAGAGAGAAAGATTTTCCTTTTTTCCGTTTGTTCACCCCCAAATGGCCGCTGCGGCCGGTGCACTGCGGCTGGTGCACCGTGCTGTTGATAGTACATTTTTAAAAAGTGTACTGCGAAATTTAACAGAATGCTGAGAATAATTATATATAGAAAGCATGTTTGTATTTTACTTTTTTCTTTTTACTTTCTTCTTATAGGTATTTTTAAGTTTTCATTAACATGTATTATTTTATAATGGAAAAATGACTACTTCAAAAATTTACTTTTTTAAGATGGGACAAATTTACCATGAACACCCCCCAAACAAGTATGGTCAGCATATATTCAGTACAAATAAGTGTTGTTATTAAAATATAGAACAATAATTATTTATTCAACAGAAATTTAACTTTAACACAGATAGATTATTTATTAATATATTTTTTCTTATTGTTTTTCCTCTGCAACAAGTTTTATACTATTTTGGGAAGAAAAATAAAATAAAGCAGAAATGTACAAGGTAGAAAACGAAAGTTCTCTGTCATCCCAGATGGGAGATAACAGCTTGTTGCTAATTCTCCAGAATTCTTACCACTGATACCATGTATTTTACTGTATTCTACCAAAATGAAGTTATTCTACACAAATTCTTTTCTAGTTTTCATTTTCCATTTTATATCCCATGATCATTTTTCTGCAAGAGTACACTAAACCATTTTTCCTTTTCTTTGCAAAAATATTTAATGCATCAAAAGATTACTCTTAATAGCACGAAATAAAAATTCATGTAAGAATTCTAGCTCCCTCCCTCACTTACTGCATCTCCTAGGAATTAGTTGTTTAATTTTTTTAAAGTGATGGTTAGAGAGACGGGGGTGGGGGAGTGGAGAGAGAGAAAGCACAAGCGAGTTCCTACCTGCTGGCTCACTCCCCATGTACCTGTAATAGCTGGGGTTGGGCTGGGGCCACAGCTAGGAACCTGGACACAATGTAAGTCTCATGTCAGTGGCAGGAACCCACACTTCAGCCATGACAGCTGCCTTTCCAGGTCTGCACCAGTTAGAAGCTGGAGCGGGAAATCAATGCCCGGCACTCTGTTGTGTTGTGGGATACAAGCATCTTAACCACGAAGCTAAACGCCCATTCCCACTTTAAAAGTTTTGGTTGTAGTTTTTCCATTTTGTTTTCAAAGTGAGATATAATATACAGATGTCTGGGAAGAAGGCCTGATTCTTAAAAATTTTTTATTTTGACCTAAAATATAGATTTTTGGGTGCATATAGTTTACTATTGGGTAAGAATTAGAAGTTAAAAATAATTACCTTTATAATGGGTGTTGAGCCATGAAGGGGTTGTTTTGAAGTCAAATGGTGCCAGAACATCCAACTCACATACCCTGAAGATGTTACAAATAAAAACAGTTTACCCTGAAGAAAGCAGTTCCTAATCAAAGTTTTGTTTGTCACTACTCACGTCAAGAATAAGTCATTATTAGATTTCCCCATGTGGTACATTGAAAAACCAGCTGACTTGCATGGCAGTCAAATAGCATCTTGTCCCAATTGTCTTCTTGCCTAATTAAGTCCACTTGGTCTAAGTGGACTTTACTGTAGTTGAGGTCTCAGCTTCTGCCTTGGTAGTTCTTGCTATCAGATGTGAGAGGATGCCTTCATACCATCAAGAAGGAAGAAATATAAGACACAGGTTCTAATCCTGGCACTGGGCAAGGCACTTAACCTCTTGGACTTTCAGTTTCTTATCTGTAAACTGAAAATGTTATACCCCGGGATTCCTTCTGGCTCTAAAATTTGAATCTATAAAACATACACTTAACTTTCCATTGTGCCCAAGTTTGCAATTGTGTGCAGCTGGTTGGCCAGTTAGCTGCCTCCTGGAGTTTTAGGGTCTTATTATTGTTGCTGCTCCACATTAATTACCCACCCTTGAAACGCCTGCTCAGAGAGCTCTGAAGAGTCTTTCTTGCTGCACCATCTTCAGTCTTCCAGGTGCCGAGGCTGCTTGTGAGCCCTAGGTATTTTCACAGCGGGTTTGCCTGCAAGCACGCTAAATAACATTCTTTCCATTGCAAAAGCCAGTATAATTATTTTAGTATTAATTTTAATATTGAAATAAAATTCCCTTCTTGCACAATAAAATTGTGTAAACACTCAACGTACAGAAAATGTGTAAATATACACCATGTATTTCAAGGTAACCTAGATTTTTAGAGAACAATTCCAACCACAGCGACAAAATAATTCCACTTACACAGAAAGGATACCGTCAAAAATACACGAGCTATCTCATTTTGCCCTCATGATAAACTTCTCCTGTACTGTTACCTCCATTCGACAAATGAAGACAGAGAAATAAGGGAAATTGAATGGCTTGCTCAAGATGATTTAGGGAGTTAGTAAGAACCAGGGCCAGAATGCCACCTTCCTGACTTGCAGTCCAAAGCTACCACCCTAGCACAGTTAACAGACGAGGAATGAAAACTTCTGAGTTTACCTCCATAGAACAACAAGAAATTTTGTTAAAACTTCCCAAATTGGCTAAAAACTGTCAGAACCACAGTACTGCTACTGACCAAGGTGAATTCACCCATTTTGAGCCCAAATCTCTGCCCATCGAACATTAGCTTACACTGCATACCGAAGAAAGAGGTAGCTGACCGCGCCTGCACAGAAACACCAGGCACGCCCCTTCTTCCACCAGCCTCTCAACTCCCACGCCTCATCCCTCCATCCTCCCTTTTTCTTTTTCTTTTTCTTTTTTTCTTTTTCTTTTTCTTTTTCTTTTTTCTTTTCTCTTCTCTTCTCTTCTCTTCTCTTTTCTTTTCTTTTCTTTTCTTTTTTTCCTTTCCTTTCCTTTCCTTTCCTTTCCTTTCCTTTCCTTTCCTTTCCTTTCCTTTCCTTTCCTTTCCTTTCCTTTCCTTTCCTTTCCTTTCCTTTCCTTTCCTTTCCTTTCCTTTCCTTTCCTTTTCTCTTCCTCCCTCCCTTCTTTCTTTCTTTTGTTTTTCAGATTTATTTTATTTACTTGAAATTTAGAGTTTGGAGGGGAGAGGAAAGGAGGGGTTGGCAGAAAAAGAGAGCTTGGTCTTCCATCCCATGGTTCACTCCCCAAACAGCGCAAGGGCCAGGACTGGGCCAGACCGAAGCCAGGAGCCAGGAACTTCTTCCAGGTCTCCCACATGGGTGCAGGGGCCCAAGCACTTGAGCCATCTACTACTGCTTTCCCAGGCCATTAGCAGTGAGCTGGATCAGAAATAGAGCAGCCAGGGCAAAAACTGGTGATGCTGGCTCCACTCTTTCCCTTTCAAATAAATGTCTGTTGTAAAAACTGGGAAATCAGATTTAATCATTACGCCTAACTCCTTACTTGATTGCCTCATAATAAACTTTCTGTCTCCAAAAGGCCATGGTTTCAGTGTCTGACTTTTCTATGCACATGGGCAGCTGAACTCACATTGCTTCAGTGACATGAGTATGTATTAGAAAATGTTTACATTGGGTGAAGATTATCTCTAGGCTCCATTCTCATCTAAATCTCCTTTAATTCATTGTTAGCTCAGGGAGTAGTAGTTTCACTTTCTTTTCCTGACTGCCCTCCAATGAATTCAGAACAATCCTGCCTGGTTCTATCCAATTCATTTCGTGATTGCTACTTTTATCATTTCCAAAAATGGGACATTAAACCAAAAGCTAAAGCCTTTACTATTAAAAATGCCATGCTCTACTCCATGAAGACGTGAAACAATAAATGGAAATTCCTTTTGCATTGAATGTCAGCTTTTTAATTCTGTTTGAAGACAGGGTGCTACTACTTACTTGAGCGTCAGGCAGCACAAGCTCAGAGATACATAATACACAGTGTAGAACAGGATGACACAGATAAGGAGGTTCTGCAACACAACCTGTGGAGAAAACTGCTGTGAGATCCAAGAGCCTGGGCTTTTTCACATGCTTGTTGATAACCATTAGTTCCACAAAGAAAAGATGATAAATGACTGCTAGATAGCCTTGGCTAGCCTGGTATTGCCTAGAGACCCATGCAATGAGAAGGACTTACAAATGCAGAATGAAAGAGCTGAAGATTTGGAGAGACTGGCATATTACAAATTAGAACCAAAGACTAAGGCAGCATTTAAATCCATATCACTCTGCCTCAATCCACTAGACCAAAGTTTCTAAATGCCAATATTTGTGTTTTAGCATGACGACATGGTTCTAAATCTCAGTTGTAGTAACAGTAAAAATATGACAACAGGTAGGAAATTTTAAAAAATGTATAATTAAAAACCCTACATAATTTACAAAGCAATCGGCTAAACACAATAGAAGGCCTGAAATGGACTTTCCCACATCTGATACTCAACAAGGAAACATAGCAAATTAATGAGGACCAGATGGATTATTCAGCAAGTGGCATTGTAATAAAATGTCTAGCTTCTAAATAGAAAAATCCCACTAGATTCCAGTCTTGTTCCAGACACCACAATAATTTTCAAATGAATTAAAGGCTTAAATGCCAAGGAAGAAGTTTGGAGAAAATATATGTAACATATATCACAGGCAAAGAATTGGTATGTACAACATATAAATGCATGCAAAGGAAAAAAGACAAACCAACAGGAAAATGCACAAAGCATATAAATAGGCATTGTATGTGGAAAAAATTTTAAATGCCAATAAATAACTTCACTATGAATATTTTAAAATACATCCTTATACATTTCAGTATTTCACATGGGAACTTTCCACTTTTTTGAGTAGTTTCGAATGTAATTTTTGTTTGGCCAAAACTCTTAACACTTCAGAATTATTCACTTTTTGGATGACCAATTCACCAAATCTACCAAATCTTTAGTTGGCTTGGATACAGAGGCAGCCTTCTGCCAGAGGCAAGAGAAAAAGTTTTTTGAATGCCCAGATTTACCACAAACTTACTTCTTTCAACTATTTAAAATGGTTGGACTATCAGGCTTAGGAGGACCCTGGGAAACCAAGACCCCAAGATTCTAGGACCTTCAGAATCTTCCCTCACTGCCCACCCCCACACCAGCTCAACCCCTCCTACTCTGTGCTTTTGTCCTTCCCCCACCTCTACCCACTAAATTTCTCTTGTCTCTGTCCCTCCTTCTCAACCTTCGTTTGCACCAAAATGGCTTGCATTCCTTGGCCTGGTAATCTCTTTCCTGGTGATCTTCAGTTTCTCTTTCCTTAGTCCTTTGTATCATCCTATCCATGTCCCTCATTCTCTCCCAGATGCATGCATAGCCCTGTGGTTTCATGATGGCTGACACTATGCTTTTTAAAAGTAAAAGACTTTATTCTTGTAGCTCTTTCCTTTATTAGAGAATGAAAACCTTTCTGAGAAACCCCCATAAAACTTCCCTTATGTCTCATTGCCTATCAGTAGGCCATATACCTACTTATTGAATAAGCACAGGCAAATAGTAAATGGGTTTACTGTGATGATTTAGAATATTGTAACTTTGCTATTTTCCTATTGCCTTAATGAGTTCCAGTATTTTGTCAAATTTTGTTTCCAATCTTTGTCAAACAAATTGTTAAGGGTGATATACTGGAGGCCAGCACCGTGGCTCACTAGGCTAATCCTCTGCCTGCAGCGCCGGCACACCGGGTTCTAGTCCCGGTCGGGGCACCGGATTCTGTCCTGGTTGCTCCTCTTCCAGGCCAGCTCTCTGTTGTGGCCCGGGAGTGCAGTGGAGGATGGCCCAAGTGCTTGGGCCCTGCACCCCATGGGAGACCAGGATAGGTACCTGGCTCCTGCCTTCGGATCAGCGCAGTGCACCGGCTGCAGCGCGCCGGCCGCGGCAGCCATTGGAGGGTGAACCAGCGGCAAAAGGAAGACCTTTCTCTCTGTCTTTCTCTCTCACTGTCCACTCTGCTTGTCAAAAAAAGAAAAAAAAAAGAGTGATATATTGGGGCCTGTGCTGTGGTATGGTGGGTGAAGCCATCATGTGTAGTGCCAGCATCCCATGTGGGCACTGGTTCAAGTCCTGGCTGCTCCACTTCCAATCCAGCTCTCTTCTATGACCTGGGAGGGCAGTAGAGGATGACCCAAGTTCTTGGGGCCCTGAACCCGCATGGGAGACCTGGAAGAAGCTCCTGGCTCCTGGCTCCTGGCTTCTGATCACCCCAGCTCTGGCATTTGTGGTCATTCGAGGAGTAAATCAGTGGATGGAAGTCCTCTCTCTCTGCCTCTGCTTCTCTGTAACTTTGCCTTTTGAACAGAAAATAAATTTTATTTTTAAAGTACTCGCATGTAAACTGGATCAATATTTTCTTAATACAATTGTTGGGCATGAAATCCACTGACGGAAGATGGCTATATGATAGACAGAAAGCTTGAGGCTTCTTCATCCCATTATAAGGCTGAAATAATATTTATTTATTTATTTTATTATGAGAGAGAGTCAGAGACAGACTCGCACCCTTTGCTTCACTCTCTAAATGCCCCAGAGCCAGAGAGGGGAATGCAACCCATGTCTTCCACTTCACTGGCATGAATCCAATTACTTGAACCATCACTGCTCCCTCCAGGGTCTGCACCTGTGGGAAGCTGCGATCAGGAGCCAGAGCCACATATTTAACCCAAGCATTGCTAGGTTAAACTCCCTCCCGCAGCCCTATAATGTTTTTAAAGAATCATGTCTGTTTGTTTTACTCTTCACTACATATTAATATCAATTAGGTATTTTTTACTTTGAGCACTAATAGTTTCTAGTTGAAAGATTTCTAAGGATTTTTTCTTCTTGTTTCAATCCAAAATAAGATGCATAACATATAGTCCCTATTCTAATATATATTTTCAAACAAATATGAAACTTAAATAACATTTTAATATTCTCTATGCTCATTGGCTGTAAAATTTTACTATTATAATCAAAACAATATTTTGCACTATACTTGAAAAATTCTCAAATACTAAATTGATGTAAGATGTTTGGAACCATTTGGGAAAGTTAAATCATAATTTATGAGAGAATGTACTGGTTGACACATGTGAGTTACAGATAATACCTTTTCCCAAAAAATATAAAATACCACCTATAGGTATAATATTAGAGTAGTGCATTTTAAAATGATTCCTTAAGAAATTTTTAAAAAGGCATAGATTTTGTAGTTATCTGCTTCTACACAAACTGTAAGCCCTACTTTCAAATAATAATTTTTCTTTAAGCCAATTCACTTGCCTTGAGTGACCTCTCGCTCGAATGTACACACAGCCTGTAGAACTCACCTTCTAAAATATCGGATCATGACATTTCCCTGCTTGATGCCCTTCTGTGGCACTGCACTCTCATCAGGATTCACTAATCCATTTTTTTTTTCATTTGACAAACAGTCCCTGGACTGAGTGACAATGCAAGATGAACTGGATGTGGGTACTACCACAGAGACCTAATCTAACAGTTGCTCTCAAATGTCGAAATATCAGACTTACTTTGAGAGCAGGCTAAAACTTAGAGTGCTGGCTCCCAGTTCCAGAAGTTGTGCTTCAGTAGGTCTGAGACGATCCTAGAAATTTACTAGAATTTGCATTTCTAACAAATTCCCATGGTTTTCGGAGTCTACTGTTCCTACATCCACACTTTGAGAACCACGCATCTGGAGGCAAGAATAAGTAAAGAGATGGCTATAGTATAGAGGGAGCAGCTGTAATTGAGGGTATACAGAGGATACAGGTAAGGCTATAGGTAGGCTGTGTGTGCTGGGGGGGGGCAGGCATAAGGAACAATGTTTAACAACAACATTTATCCTAGGTTTACTGTTTATCAGGCACCAAATGTGTATTCCCTAATTTAATCTGTATTACAATTCTGAGTGGTAGGCTCTATTAGAATTATTCCTCCTTTAATGAGATGAAAAATGAGGCTCAGAATAGCTTAGTAACTTTTGCAATGTTTGACAATAAATTACAGAGCTAGGACCCAATCCTACTGACTTTTTTTTTTTTATAAAGAAGAATATATCCTTTTAAAAGTTGTATTTGAGAAGCAGAAAAACACACATGCACACACACATACACACACACACAAAGAGTTTTCATCCACTGCTCACTCCCCAGATACCAATAATGGCCAGGGCTAGCGCTGGGGCTGGGGATAGGCCAGGACCAGAGCCAGAGCCAGAAGCCGGGAACTCAATCCACGTTTCCCACATGGGTGGTGGAACCCAATCACTTGAGCCTCCCAGGGTCTGCACTAGCAGGAGCCAGAAACAGAGTGAGCCAGGAATTAAACCCAGGCTGATATGGGATGCTGGCATCACAGTAGGCCTCAACACAAGGTGAAGCATCTACCCCTGCTTTCTCATTCTTAACCATGGTGCTACTTGCAACGCACTGGGGTGGAAGTGAGGAGGTGGCTATAGGCATAAGGGCAAAGACTTTCAAAACTAAGATTGCATCTAAGCTGGGAAAGTGTTCTAGGGAATGTTTAATGCGCTGATGTCAGTTGTGAAGGGAATTTTGAAACTTGATGAATTCTGATGTCTCTGAGGGCCGTGGAGAGACTAAGATTTAAGGAGCTCTACAGATTGGAGAGAGGCTATTAGAGAGGGAAAGTATTTAAATGGGTTTTTAATATACTAAGTCAGCAGGGGAGATGCCAAAGAGGACAGATGTGTGAGCTACAAAGAAAACAAGATTGACAAATTGTGCGTGTTAAAGAAGAGAGGACTACTGTTATATTTCCCAATTTTCAGACTTGTTTGACTAGATGGACAATTAAAAGGCTCAAGGTCCATACAAAGTGATTAGAATGGAAATCAGTGATCTAGCCCAGTGCTGTCCAGTAGAAACATAATACAAGCCACCTATATAGTTTCAAATTTTCTAGAAGCCACATTCAGAAAACATTTTCAAAGGTTAAATTAATTTTAATAA